CCCCCAGGCAGAACCAGCATTTTGTTCCAGCCATGTATCTTGTCTTGTCAGGCTTGCAGCTGAAGCCTGGTTTAAATCCTAATCCTTGTCACTCCCTAGGGAGAGATGAAGGTGTGGGAAGCCTTAGGGCACAGATTTTCAAATTCCTCCAATGCATTAAGACTTTTAAAGGCCTAATGTACTTGGATCCCAACCAGCACAGCACACTGGTTGTTCTGTGCCAGGGAAAAGCTCTGATGAATATGACCTGCAAGACAGAGGACAGCAAGCTCTAAGAGGGGACCAAGAGGAACTACATCATTTTTAGCAGCAAAAGCAAAGTCATGCTGGGTAAGAACAACTCCAGATATCACAGCAGGTAGGAGACAAGCCTGGCTGCAAGGCAGCTTTGGAAGAAGAGACCCTGGGGGTCCTGACAAGCAGCTAGTTGAATATGATTTCTCCAGTGGGGTTCAGCTTCATACTGGGCTGTGTTAGCAAAAGCAAAGCCAGTAGGTCATGTGAAAATATTATTTCCTGCTCTATTGAGCACTCATAATTCAAAAAAAATGGAATATTGTGCCCAGTTTTAAGCTCTCTACTGAAAGAAAAACCTGAGAATTCAGTGGAGCAGCCATACAGGGCAGGAGCACTTACAAGAAGATACAAGCACAAGAACACTGGATTTGTTCAGTACAGGGCAAAAAGAAGAAGGGCAGAGCCAGTTGACATTTTTAAGCCACCTAGTGGGCACAGGACAATGTAGAGTCAAACTCTCTTTGTGGTACACCAAGCCAGGGATGAGAGGCAAGTGTCACAAATTGCAGGAAAAATATTCAGACAGCTGAAGAGGAAGACAAATCTGGTGGTTAAACAATCAATTTTCTGACTACTGACAAGGATGGAGATTTTGCACTTGACCAGACACGGCTGTCCACATCCTGACCTGATTTTGAAGGTTTCCCTGCTTTGAGCACAGATTGGACTGGAGGCCTCCCAAGTTCCTTTCCAGTCTAAATTATTCCACACTTCTAAGAAAGCATGGGACCCCCACCAAGCTCGAGCCACCTGTCCATATGGCAGTAAACTAAACAGATTTGGATACCCGACACCAGCAAGCTCAAGTTTATTTTGGGCACAGCTGATGCACAAGAAAATATCACTATCTGCGTAAAACACCTCTTTGTAGTGATGTAACTGACAGCCACGAGCTCTTGAATGCAAAAATGTCTGAGTTTCCATAGAAACTAACTTGGTTAATCCTTCCTGCATCCAGCCATTTCTCTACAGTAGAGAATCGAGGCTGTCAGCATAACTTTACAAAAACACACCCCCAAACCCACACATGCACCTCACATTAGGAGCATCTCTCTGACCTGGATGCTGACCATACAAGGGGTGAATATTGGGCTAGGTGTGTATAACACCTCACAACACCAACAAGAGATTTCAGCACTGTAAATGGTCTGCACCACGTTAAAGCACAGCATCCCTCACCAGGCAGTAGAGCTGAGTTAGCTGTAATGGCAGCACAGGAACACCACGGTGTGACAATTGATCCATGCTGATCTTGGGGACAGACACTGCATTCTCCTCTACCATATCTGTGTTGCCACGCCTTTAACTTTTCCTTTCCTCTCTGCTTGTAGTTGTTACTCCATTCCTAGCCCTTGTGTTCTTAAAAGGATAAGGATTTTCAGTGAGCACAAGAGCAAACCAGCATACCAGTTTCTCACCATTTTGCCATTGATCAAACTACAGTGCATTCCCTAAATTCCTCCTGTCCCAGTGACAACTTCCTCAGTCATAAGCCACATATCTTTATTATGAAAGCAAGTATTCTGTTGTTGATCAGAGAGGGGATTTTGTTTTTAAAAAATCACTGTCACTCTTTTCATGGGTAGTCAATGTTATTTCAGTAGTTATTTCAGTTGAATAATCAGAAGCCTAAGACCTCTGCTTTTCTTCATGCCAATAATCTGCAGAAGCGTGTTGTAGAAATAGAATTGAAATACAAGACAACCACACAGAGTTATCTGCAAGTCACTGTGTTTATCACACTTTCACTGTGTTTATTATATTATTAGCTTATTACCAGAGATCACTAGTGATACAGTGAACTTTGTGTATAAACAGGAAAGAGAAGGAAGTACTCAAGTTCCTTTGTGCTCCCTCCATTGCAAGGTGTGGCTGCCTTCTCTTGGTTCTCAGATGGAATCCAGACACAGAATGTAGAAGATTTCAATCGGTTGAAAAAGAGCAGTCTTGTGCTTCTAGGCACCCCTGAGGGTTCTTTCATTTATGGGGGATTTTTTTTGCCTGTTGTAGTTTTTTTTAACTCCTTGATTCAAAGTGACCAAACAGTCAACATCTTCCAACACTTGCCTGTAGACATGCACATACAATTACTGATCCCATATGCTTTCTTCTTGCTGTACTGGAAACTCAGTTGTCATACTTTAAAATTAATCACTACATTAACCCACATCCTCTAAAAGACAAACACTAACATAACTGCAGGCTCAAATACAGTGTGCAGCCAGCAAAGCAAATGTCTAGCCTGATTTTCTCTGCAATTTCAAAGTGGTTGGAACAAGGACTTCCCTTCCCCTATTTCTGCAGGCAACATTCCACAGAACATGAGACAATACTTTTTATCTTCGCTGCTGTTGAAGAAGCACAGTGAACTCAAAGAATTCTTCTTTTCCACCTCATATTTTCCACCTGCAGGGTTACTCAGCCACTGAAGCCCACTGCTAACATCTGACCAGTACTGAGAAACTTGCTTGAGAAAAGAAAGAAAGCATATTACTCAAATTTCTGAGAACTTGCCTCAGTCACAGAGCTGTTTTCACAATAACAGAAGTAAGAGAGCAGAGAGGCCTCAGGAACATCCAACAAGCAAGAAGCTGACAGTAGAGAAGCTTAGGATAGAGAGAACAAACCTGTTCTCTCTCTCCATCCAGAACTGTCCTGCTTACACTACATTTAGGCAGCTTTGGGTTGTTTTTTGTTTTTTTTTCTTAATAAAAATTAAGCAAAAAAGATTTGTAGACAGCAACAAAGGCACAAAGCACACTGGTCAGACCACGTAGTTTGAGAAGCAGAGTGCTATGCTGACAGCAATATTCCTCCTCAGCAATTTTGTAATCAGCATTTAGAACAATACCCAAAGAAATACACAAAATGATCAATCAGCTCAGCAAACACCCTGCATTCAGTCCAGAAAACTCAAATGCCAAATCCACCCAACTTGTCTCTCAAAGAAGCCCACAACACAGCCCCACTAACCCAGGCTCAGCAGCCTCTCTTGTACCTTCCTGCCCAGCCGACCCCAGCTGCTCCTGGTGCAACTGTTCCAGTTCACACTCAGCTGAGAGAAGGAACCCTGCTGACCACATCCCCACAGCCACCCCCTGCTTCTCTGCCCTTCTTGGTCTTACATCTCTTTTCTACCAGCTCCTGAAACTACCTAGGCAGGAGTTAAGATTTCCTTGGCTTTTGGCTCAAGGAAGACTTAACCACATAAGTCAGTCAGACTTTATAGACTAATACTACAAATATTGGCCTTTAATTTCATAGGCTGGGAGCAGTTCATTAGAATGATGTACAAGCATGAGTGACCACCCTGAGGGACAGTGCAGCTCACCAGTGACAGCCAAGGTACAGCTCAGGGGCAGAAGTTGAAAACAAGAGGTCAAGACTGCCAGAATTCAGAGCATAGCAAGACATCTGTAGGTTCAGCTGTGGGGGATGGTTCAGCTGCACTCACAGCATCTCTTTTTGACCACACTGGGTGGTCACAGCAGAGCTGCTTTGTTCAGCTCTTGATAATAGTTATGGCATAATGTAAGTGTATCTACTCTAACTGAGATAAACTCCCTGCAGATCTTCAAGACAGCCCCCACTTGTCACTGTGAGCTATTCAGATACCAATGCTCATACTGGCTACAGAATCACTGAATGATTTATCCTTTTAATTTATTTCTATTTTCTGTCTTTCGTAATACCATTTAATATTCCTGGTTCCACCAACCACATTTGTAAGATCAGATCTCTTCTGGGGCTTCGCTTGCTGAAAGCTTTATCCCCTTTCTGTAACTTTTCAAGATTATTTGGATAGAGAATGTATTCTGAACAGTAACTATCTACAGTCATATTAATTAAATAAATAAAGGCTTGCATTATTACATGTGTTTCCCACTGTACCCTGCATGGATCTCTCTCTGTAACCTGCTTCTCCTACCATACATTTCTTTGCTAACATTTGTTACAGGGTTTCAGTAGCCTGTGTAGTTTTATTATCTCTCACTTACCTTGCCTTGGCCTTTCTCCCACCCCTGACTGCAGTATGTGATACACTATAAGATTGTATCAAAGGTCATGCTGTTTCCTCTACTCCTGAAATGTCTTTGGATTCAGAAAATAGTTAATTTGTTGCTTTTACTTCTGCTTTTTGATACAGTGATTTTACTTCCATAGAGACTTCTTTGGATACAGCTCGCTAAGAAGAGTAAAAGATGAAACCTGTTTTGGAGCTTTACTCACATTTAATCACATTAACAGTGTTAAGATTAATAATTTCCCCATTTGGGCCATGCATCACCCTGCTTCAGTTTTGCTGCATTTATTTCCTTGTAGTGAAATGGGAAATTTCTGATCAACATCATGTAACACTCACTGTTTCACTTGCCTTTCTTACTATCTCATTTCCCTTGCCTCAATCCATCACTCTTAGTATTCCCCAGGAGCAAATGCAATGATGCAGTAATGTTTTGTCTGCTTTCATTTGATTTCTAGGAAAAGCATCAACCTGTCATGAAAAATAACCCATTACTCATCTCTTCAGCTGATCATGGAGTTTTCCCCTCTCTAATCAAGCTGAGTGCTCCCCAGAAGGCTGTCTTGTCAGAGCTCCTCTTCTGAGCTGCTGTCTTGCTTTTGCTGGCAAAGAGCAGATAAACATTAGTACACTTTCTCAGGGCTTTTTTCATCCCATTCACCATGCAACACCACTTTCCTTTTGTTTTGGACAGTGTAAGGTAACTTCCTCAGGCAGAACAATAAACATTTTGGTATTTCTCCTTCCTGGCTGCCCATACCCAGAATACCTGCAGTATTTTGAGAGATCTCCAGTGCTGCACTCACTCTCTGTGGCTGGCACAATTAAACAGTGGTTCCATTTTTTCTCTGTTTGTTTGGATTTGCTGGGTTTGTTCTCTTTTGCTTCCCTGACTGCTGCTAACCCCTTGTGACTATCCCTTGTGGCACTGAGCTATTTCCTAGGCTGCTGAACAGAGGATCTTATAAATGTGTTAGCAGCCATATCAGATCACTTACTTCCTTTTGCTAATGGAGGGTGTTTTTTTAATGTGCTCTGACAACTGGATAGAGTCTATAAGCTCTGACTGCTACAACTTCTGACATTCTTCAAAGACAATGGACAGGGTAAATTACAGGATGGTAGAAGAGGACTTATGAGATTTTGATTGCTTAACCATAGACATGAAACAGAATCACTTCCAGATAGCTTTTTACAGGTGTTTCCCAATGTGCCATAGGGGACTTTCCCAGTGTGTCAGTGGCAGCCCTAGGAAAAGGTACAGGATAGCCTTGGACAGTGCTCATTGTGGAGGAAATACCTCCTCTCTGCAGGGAGTCACAGGGAAGTGGAAAGTAGTTGTGCATGTTAGCTTGAAGTTGCCAAAATAAAGAAACTCACTTTGAAGCCTGCAGTTTCATGCAGTATTTTGCACAATTACAGTTGGAAATGTGCTCAGCTACAGAAAATGGAAAGAGCAAACACAGGGAGAGAGGAGAGCTTTCTGATTCTGTGGTAAAATATTAAGAGAAAGATGGAAGGTACAGTTTATATTGCAGAAAAGTTACCTGAGAATATTAGGTAATTTGGAATTTGGCAAAAATTTGGTCCACTTTTTGTTGCAGATGATGCAGAAATAGAAAAGAAACTAGGGGTTTTGTAATGGATTGGGAAGTGAAACTCTTGCTAAGAAAAAAAAATACCCACGTGACACATACTCTGGTATTGGTCTGAAAACCCAGGAGTCAGAATACCTGTTTTTGGAAAACCTTATTCTGCCACTTTGGTGTGCTGATGTCCATCTGTCTGTTTTCAGTATCATTTGGAATAATTTGTTCAGGATTGAACTGTCTCTCCATTGACTGAAGAGTTGCTTTACTTTCTGTGGCAGGCACGGGTCAGAGGACCGTTTGTAAAGCAAAAGGCACAAACCTTTGCTGATTCTGTTGTCTCACAGATTTCATTCTGCTGCAGCTGGTGGCTGAGCATTTCTGCCTGGGATGGCTGAGGATCAGGAGCTGACTCAGGCACACCAAGCTGCTCTGGAGCCGCCGGTGCAGCAGCGCAGCAGCAACACTTACCGCAGTGCAGAGCACTCGCAGGCTCTGCTCAGCGGGCTGCTGTCTCTCCGGGACAGCAGCATCCTCTTCGATGTGGTTCTGGTCGTGGAGGACAAACCCATTGAGGCTCATCGCATCCTTCTGGCTGCATCCTGCGACTACTTCAGGTACACTTCAGTAACAAAGCACCAGTCTGACTCTTAGTCAAAACTGGGACATCCAAATCTTCTGTATGGCCACACTCCTTCTGAATGTAAACTCAGACCCATGAGATGGAGCTGAGGCTGTTTCAAAAATACTAACTATGGCTTTATTCATCTCTCTGTTATTTCTCTGCAGAAGTAAAGCTCTTGTTCCTGCACACTGAGCTTACCTCCACTAAATTCACTGTGGTACTTGGAGGTTTATAAAGAGGAGAGACTTTCTGAACTGGTATCTTCTGCTTAAGTGCACTCTAAGTGGCTTTTAACATATCCTTAGCATTGTAAGACTTTGCCCATTGATCATTTCATAATAGACAAAAACTCCCTAGAAGTGGGTCACTGTTGTGTGCCTATAGGGTGACTCGCTGGCCATTAAACCAGGCAGTCCCCAGTCCATTTGATTAGCAGTTTCTTTGTTTTCATAGAGCAAACACCCAAGTCAATCCAGACAAATTTCTAACTGAAGGAAGAACTGCTCTTCCTTAGGAAAAAATCCCACTGTTCCAAGTTCTTCTGTGTTTCCTCTTCCCCCACACCCAGAGTATCTGCCTTTGACCATTGACTATCCATATATACTGGGTCTGTATTTAAGTCCTTCACCTGTGAACTGTACTTTCTAGGTTGCCCCTACTGTTTTCCTGCACAATGAAGAGTTACTTTCTTAGGCCCCAAAGGCCTGTACACTTAACTTAGAGAAGAGGTAATCACATAAAAGTGTCTAGCTAGGTTTTTGCATTTCTGAATGTTTTTTATGTTCCCAGGACAACAAAAGATGAGCAAACTGAAGAAAGCTTCATTGCAAATCTGCCATAGCATGTGCCATTGTCTGTTTTGCAGAGGAATGTTTGCAGGAGGATTGAGAGAGATGGAACAAGAAGAAGTTCATATTCATGGCATCTCCTACAATGCAATGTGCAAAATCTTGAACTTCATTTACACTTCTGAGCTGGAACTCAGTGTGAACAGTGTACAAGAAACTTTAGCTGCAGCTTGTCAACTTCAGGTGAGGTACTGGGAAATGTGAAACAAAAGCAATGATGAAAAAAACAGAAAACATGGATATCTGGTTAGAGGGAGGGTTAAGAGGTGAGCAGGAGCATGGGCATGATAAGAAGGATTTCTGGGATGCTGTATCCACTGGAACTAACTGTGGAAGGGTAGGAACAATGAATGGGTACTTGCACATCTCATTTGTGCCAATGGTTTCATTACTTAAAACGTTCCCCATTTCATCCAGAGGAGTATTTTATATAGCACTCACTTTCACTGATCTGCTTATGAAACTTTCCCTGAAACAGAGTATCTCTGGCCTATGGTAAAGAATAGGGTTTGTTGGTCAGAAATTGTTGTGCTGCTCAAGGTCTTCCCCAAGTGAGTCCACAGGCACATGACCTCTCCTGACCCCGTCACTACACAAAATCCTGCCACTGTGGTTTGCACTAAGTGCAGGGTTCATGTGCTTTTAAGACAAGTTTTTTTCTCCAATTTCCCCTGCAGCTAACTGCTGCACAAGGCTTTGGTACTAAATGTTAAACATTGTGAGTGCTTGCTTTGCTTGGTTTTTACACACTTTGTTAGCAGAAGGACTCCTGGACAGCAGTTAGTTCTGTTTGCCAGTAGTTCCTCCTGCCAGACACAACTTCAAATCGTGTTCAGAAGACAATACTAAATATTCATTTTCCTTTCCAATGGCTTCCTATGCTCTTGAGTGATATATTTGTTACAGATACAATCTTTGATATAGTATGTCTGTAGTCCTCTGAGAAAGCAAACACAGAGTGACTGCAACCACTGTGTCCTTTGTGTCTGCATTCCTGGCTGCTCTCACACAGGCTGCAGAGGAGGCAGCCTGGCTGCCCAGTGTCCCACGTGTCTTGGAAGACACATTGCTGCTGCACCTGAAGCCAAACTCAGTCTTACAGTACAGCATGGCTGGAAGAGCTGTATTATACCCATCTCCATAGCCACACTGAGTTCTCTTTCTCTGGAGAATGGTGAACAGGACACAAGTGACCATGGTGGTCAGACTGTGAGGAGAACAGCCATTTTGTGGACAATTTCCTTACAGTCATCCCAGGCTTCAGTCCTCTGTCTCTCAAGTGGGGGGCAGGTGGTGTCTGAAATGAAAAACCTCTCTCTCTTGCAGATTCCAGAAGTCATTAAGTTCTGCTGTGATTTCCTCATGTCCTGGGTAGATGAAGAGAACATCCTTGATGTGTACAGACTAGCTGACCACTATGACTTGAGGCATTTGAGTGAACAGCTGGACTCCTACATTTTGAAGAACTTTACAGCTTTCTCAAGGACACAGGTGTACCGACAGCTACCCCTGCAGAAGGTCTACTCCCTTCTCAGCAGCAACCGTTTGGAGGTTAACTATGAGTTTGAAGTTTATGATGGAGCACTTTTTTATCATTATTCTCCAGAGGAACTGGAGACAGATCAGGTCTCCCTGATGGAACCCCTTAAGCTACTTGAGACAGTTCGTTTTCCTCTGATGGAACCCCAGATCCTGCAAAGGCTTCATGACAAATTAAGTCCATGTCCTTTAAAAGATACAGTTGCAGATGCATTAATGTACCACAAGAACGAATGTCTTCAGCCAATGCTTCAGAGCTCCCAGACACAGCTGAGATCAGAGTTCCAGTGTGTAGTGGGATTTGGAGGAATGCATTCTACTCCATCCATTGTCCTCAGTGATCAAGCCAAGTATCTAAACCCCTTGTTGGGGGAGTGGAGGCACTTTACAGCTGCATTAGCCCCCAGAATGTCCAACCAAGGGATTGCTGTTCTCAATAATTTTGTATATTTAATTGGTGGAGACAACAATGTAAGTGGTTTTCGAGCAGAGTCAAGGTGTTGGAGGTAAGATAAGGATAATCCTGCTATTAATTTTATTGCCACCCTGCTGCCTTATTTCTGAGTTAGTAAGCCAGTAGACAGTGAATACACTTGCCAGCCAAAAGATTAGGAACTGAGCAGGAGCCTCAATGAAAGAAAGCACAAGAAAAAGAAAGCTTCATAGTAACAGGAAGCTCCCAGCAGTGCTTAGGAGAGCAAGCCAAGCCTAGCAGTGTAGAAACAGTTACTCATTCAAGAGTATTACTTGTGCTTCTTTCTGCCTTCTTGGAGGAGGGAAGTATTAAAGGTGTGGGAAGCAGTAATGAGCCTGAACTCTAGGCTGTCTAGCTGTTCTCTAAATAGCGTTTTCTGGAAGTCTTCTATGTGTTCTGGAAGTCTTCTATGTGTTCTGGAAGTCTTCTGTGTGGAAGTCTTCTATGTGGATTTTACATAAAATGCTATTACCAACAGATATTCAAAACTCTGTGTGCATGATAGCAGCATTCCAGGGTCCTTTTATATTACTGTGTGACAGGGAGAAGAGCAAGAAGAAGGATCAGATTTAGACCTTCATGCCCATTACATTGCAAAAACAGATATAAACCCTATTGCCTTTATACTGTGCTCATTTTTACAAGTCTTAGCTGAGTTGCTCTTACTTTATGGCATTCATAGTTTCAGTTCTCAACCAGTTTTCTCTGTAACTAAAATTTCCATATGAGAGAGATAGTTTGACATGAAAGTAAATCATGAGATCCACTTTGAGCAGCAGATATTTGGGACAGGAATCAAAGAACCCACCTCATACTTATGGCCTTCTTGTATTCTTGAAGATCCACATTCAGTCTTTGTGCTATTTTTAGACTGTGTTACCTTGTAGAATGGCTTTGTGCAAACAGAGATTGTGATATGTAACCCAACAGCAGTGTACAAGATAATGGAAAGCCTTTTATAGCATGATTATGTCAGCTAAAATACATCTTCTATAAATAGAACAAAACAAGTTTGCTAATAATAAAATGCTGACAAGGCCAAATTTCACATCACTTACAGATGAGCTCAATTTCAGCTGAAGACAGTTCAGTAACCCACATCCATGGAGCTGTGTGGTATTCCAGCAGTGACTCTGTGGCTGTAGGAATAACTTTCTTTGATCCCACTCTTTTACAAGGTATGACCCACGACACAACAGATGGTTCCAGATCCAGTCCCTGCAGCAGGAGCACGCTGACCTCAGTGTTTGTGTCGTGGACAACTATATTTATGCCGTCGCAGGCCGAGATTACCATGAAGACCTGAGGGAAGTGGAGAGGTATGACCCTAAAACCAACACTTGGGAATATGTGACACCTCTGAAGAAGGAGGTAAGGAGTGCATTAGCCACATACACTACCACAGTTCCCCAATTCCTGATTTAACCTTGCTAGATGTTTTTCTCAGGTGTAACTTTTAATGGAAAGCAGTAAACTCTATATGGAATAAATGGATGACAAGAAATAATAGCATATGTAAATTACATTTTCCAGTTAGATGCTTATTTTTCCTGTTTCTTGTTGATTTTGCCTGCACCTTTACTGTGTTAATCGTTAAAGCTATTAATAAATAATAAATGTGTGTCAATGATGAAAATATAAAAAGGCTGAAATAGAATAATTTGAATTCCTGATAACACTGCTTGTATAAGAAAAATCGCCAATAAAATGGCTTCCAGGTAGATTAGGGAGTAAAGTTATAGTGTGAATGATCTTCTAATCAAGGAACAATAAAGACAGAGAATGCTGCAGTTCTGGAAGGTTTAGAAATTCTAGTGTGTTTCATTCAGAAATTCACAATTATAATATCTTAGAAGGAACTGTCCGTAAGAAAATCCTTTCTATTTTTGATCTCTGCATTACTCATGAAGAATGTCATTCCCTTCATGTCTATTCCCTGCTTTAAAACCGAAAGAAATACATAAACGCAGCCCTCAACCTCTTGCTTTGCCACTGGTGTGGCGCTGCAGGTGTACGCGCACGCGGGAGCAGCGCTGGACGGGAAGATGTACATCACGTGTGGGAGGAGAGGAGAGGATTACCTGAAGGAGCTGCAGTGCTATGACCCGAGGACTGACCGCTGGGATGTCCTGGCAGATGGCCCAGTGAGACGGGCGTGGCACGGGATGGCTGCGCTGCTGGGCAAGCTCTACGTCATCGGGGGAAGCAACAACGATTCTGGCTACAGGAGGGACGTTCACCAGGTGGGACCACGGCAATCCTGTGCCTTTTCTTGGGTTCTTATGGATGCTGGCACTTAGGTGTAATGTCTAAGTATGCAAATAAAAGTGTCTGCTGGATGAGCTCTCTCTCCCCCTCACTTGCAGAGCTGACAATGATTTATTTACTGTTGTCTGTCTTGAACACTTTGTCTCACCCACAAAGCATTAAAGCTCTAGCACTTGGAATTCTTATCAATTTGAAAACATCTCTGATGGATAACTTCATTGGCATGCATATGCCCAGTAGGTAGCACATCAGTTAAATTTATTTTATGCTGTCTTTACATGCATTTTTTCCTAAGTGGAGAACTTTTGAATTACCAATGTGTAATTGCAGGGCAGAGCTGTTAAGGATGTGTTGGATGGCAGTTGTATAATGCAATTAAAATGTACAGTATGAAGGTAAGGGACGTCTGGAGAGAATTCTCTTGAACTTTATCCCAGCTTCTAGAATTGCTAGAGACTTGGAAAGAAGACACAAAAAGGAACTGTTTTAATAGAGCCAGTGCAGATGGCAAAATTAAATCTAGCTGAAGAGTGTATCTGAATGATGAGAAGGTGCCTACAAAGGAAAGCAGTTAGCCAAGTAGGTACCCAATGAAATCTAAAACTCTCCAACATATGGCACAGAGGCAGCTTAGCAGATTTGTCATATTTCTATGTTCCAGCATTTTCTCTCTAATGCAAACAGGTGCATTATGTCTGGGTTTATATTAGCACGTGTCCCCATCTCTTTCACTTTTGTATACATTTTTGGAATGACATACAGCTGTTACTCCAGCAGCAGGGTCAGAACTAGTGATTTCAAAGCTATGTGGCAACTGTGCACAATTTTCTGCTGAGCACTGTACTTGTATTAGATAGTCATATGCTGTCTCCATTATCAACACACTGTCAAAAGACTGAATAGTTTACCTTATGGCCAGGCTCTGTCACTAGGATACAAGTTCATTGTGGCTTCTCTCTTGTTTTTTGTTTTACAGGTTGCCTGCTACAAGCCAAGCACTGATCAGTGGACAAACGTGTGTCCACTTCCTGCAGGACATGGAGAGCCAGGCATCGCCGTCCTAGACAACAGGATTTATGTTTTGGGAGGCAGATCCCACAACAGGGGAATCCGCATGGACTATGTCCACATTTATGATGCAGAGAGAGACTGTTGGGAGGAAGGACCCCAGCTGGAGGATGATATTTCTGGGATGGCTGCCTGTGTCCTCACGTTGCCCAGGGCTATTTTAATGGAAACAGAGAAGTGGCTCTCAGAGTGGCACGCAGACCGAATGAAGCATCATCTTGACTTTCCATCAGAAGTTATGAGCGTATCAGACTGGGAGGAGTTTGACAACTCAAGTGAAGATTAGAAAACTTTATTTTTTTTTCCAGTGGATGAGGAAATTAAGGCTTGGGGAAAGTACTTGAGAGATTTTATATGTCTTTCTTATATACATAAAAGTATTGAAAGGTTTTAAAACTACGTGTTCCGCACAAAATGCCATTCACAGTCAATATATACCCATCTGCAAGTGTTCTGCACAAAATGCATTTACAGGCAGTACCTGCCCACCAGCCAGAAAGCAGTGTTTTTAAAGTAACCACACAACTGCCATTTCCCCCTGGTTGTATAGAGGTTCTTGTACTTTGAAGGAGGCTCTTCTCAGCCTTCAGCATGGACAAAAAAAAAAAAAGCACAGAAGGCTCAGCTTGACTAGCTTCTTTCCTTCCAGCTTCTAGCTCAAAATAGCTTCTTGAGATTTTTTTTTTCCTTTTCTTTTGGGTAATAAAACTTCCTAGCCAGCTTAATACAGGAAGGTAACACCTAGTGCTGCCCTCCTGTGCCAGGTGTCAGACAGCTTGATTCGTTTTTCAGCAAGAGTGAACATACAGAAACAGGAACAGTAGCAAGAAAGTCTGAACCTTCCTCTGGGCATGCAGCCATCCTTGTAACTGGCTGAGATTCTGTGAGCTCACACCCACTCCTGAACTTCTATACTGCAAGTTTTGTCAACACAGTGGAAAGATTTCTAGAAAAATCTCTCTGTACAGAATATGGCAATCTCATCATTCCACTGTCAGACACATTTGTTCTCAACCATAAATTAATAAATTCTTGTCAGAACTTTTTAAACTGCTGTCTCCATTTTATAAACAGTGATGTGGCGGCTGAAAGTTTCATTGTATCCTACAGCAGTATTGGCAAAGTTACTCCAGTCTGGGAGATGGGCAATTTTTTCATTCTTTTATTATATGCTTTAGAAGAGAATAAAAAGAACAGAGATTGGTTTGCCACAGCAAAAGAAAAAAATAATGAGATAACAAGAAGTATGGAAGATTACACTGGTCCAAGACCCTGCAGTAGCTGAACTAAAGCCAGGAACTACAGCTGAGAAAGATAAGGCACAGAAAATCCTTCCTTCATGGGGCCTTAAAATAATTGGTTCTGACCCCCATCTTGCTTAACATTAGGTTAGAAGCTGATTTAAAGTCTGAACCGGTGTGGTACTGAACAGTATGAGATCCTTCCTCTTGGAGGGGTGGAGTAATCAGTGCCACCAGAAAATCCTGAAAAACTACCAGAAGCTTTTAAATCTTATAGCAGTAATGGGATTGCAGAAAGGCAGAACCAGTCACAATCAGAATGACATGGGACTAGTCAAGTGTCATCACATCATGACAAATATTGCACATGGATGTGCTACTTCAGAGAAATGCAGTAAGTTCCTGGAAATTCCCTCTACTTGAGGGTATTCTGTTTATGCAAGCAAAAATGATTTCAAAACAGACTTGGATTACTCTGCTTTAGCAGACTGGGTTTCTGGAAAAAGATTCAAGAGTAGTTGCACATTTGTTTAAATAAGGTCAGTAGCTTTTTCTTGGTAAGAGGGGCATTTATTGGACTTTATTCTTCAGCACTGTCCATTTTCACCTCCATCTCTGAAGCTTTGCCAATTGGCAAATAAAACAAAGTCCTGGTAACTGCAGCAAAGCCTGATTATGAGCTTTTGCAGAAAATATTTTTTGATGGTGAACTCTGGACTGCACAGAGTCTGGAAATACAGACTTTATTACACTGCAATATTAGAGACTGATAAATAGTAATTTCCGTCCTTTTTTTTTTTGCCTACAGTTACTTGTAATGTGTAGGAATTAAATGTAGCCTTGAGATGTGAGGACATGCTTCTCTGACCTGGGGATCTCTAGGACCACTCCTTCCAGACTGCAGGTGGCAATTTGCTTCCTCTGCAAACAAGTGATTAAAGACCCAGCTGTTTCTAACTAATAGACATCTAATTCAATGCAGTGCATTTTCCATTTTAACCAGCACCTCTAGACAGGCCAGTGATGCCCTGTGTTATACAAAGATATAGGGTTATTTATGATATTTAGATGAAATCTTACTTAGCCTCTTTAACAATGAAAAAAGAAATAATCATTCTTTGTCTAGCTCCTCTTCCTGTGTGTACCACTAGAGGGTATTAGTCACTGTTACAAATCACCAGCCTGAGAGGCTAATTCTTAGATTACATAGGAGAATAGAAGACATTCATGAGTAATTAATGAGCCAAAGAAACATCCTGAGAAAACTTGGGGGGAAGGGTTCCAGTTTCTACCCTGTCACTCCTTCTATGTTTGAATCTTGATTTCTAGAGAGCTCAACCCTTATTCCATTTGTCAGCATATGCAATTTTGTGATTGCATTACTCACTAAATGTTGCAGTTGGATGCTGTGCAAAGGTAATGAATATAAGGCTTAGAATGCAGTTGCAAGGAAATTACTTTAAGCAGATGATCATCTATCTTAGCACTACATTATTTTTCTCTTTTTTTACTTATTGGTACAATAACCCTAAGTTATATAACTAAACCTAAGGGCAGGTAATATTTGATAAAAATAAAACTTGTTGCTTTTAGTCCCAAAATTTCTTTACATCTGAGCATAATGTGACTCTTGAAAGTTACAGTCTGCACTGTATTACCTGCATGTATTTCATTTAGGGAGAAAATCATGGAGTTTAGCTCAAACTATCCTAATTCTTTTTTAGCAGTAGCTCATTTTAGGCCAGCATGTCCTTTTTTTAAAACCAGCACACAGGCTAAATAATAATAAAATTGCTTTTAAAATGTCAATTTTCTCTTACTCAGCAGATATAAAGCACTTCTTGTTTTCTACCATTACCTATATAAACAAGTTGCAGGAAAGATTACAGGTTGATACACAGAGCTGTAATTATTATTGATTGGTTTTCCTATCAAGAATGATGCTTCAGGAACTGAATTTTCACAAGCCCACTTAAGCTTTCTGTTACCTCAAGAGAAACATGTACTCATAGGGATTTCCAGCTGATTCTGTATTTTTTTTAATTTATAAATTCTCTGGTGTCCTAAATATGTCAATTTTGTATCTGACAGTAAAAGGCTTTTTTTTTTTTTTTTTTTACAGTAAGCTCTCTGAGCCAGTATAAAATAAGACATTGTGGACAGATGGACAATGAACTAAGAAAGCTTAAAGTTATTTCTGGTCTGTGAGAGAACAATCAAACAGCTCTTCCAGAACTGAGTGATCAAAATACCAACACTTAAACTGCTGATATATTAGGAAGTCCAGAAGAATAGTAATTAGGTTTCTTGATGATCTATTTTCCTATTTCCTGCCAGCACAGAGGTAAAGCTGTACAGGCATATTTGCCAGATTTGTAATTAGTGGACTTGTATCGAAGCATTTCAGGCTTCCCCATTTGCAGAAGTGATTGTGATTGCTTCAGTTTTGTTTCATAACTGCTTTCACTACTGTATTTCTTCTCCAGCTGTCTACTTCCAAATCCAACATATTCTTTCCCATTTTCTTCATAGTTAAAATTAGGGTTGTTAATTTTGCATTGGAAGCATACCCAGTACTTGATTTGAAACAAAATAAGGATTCTTATTCTGTACCCTTGACAGAAATTTACTTCTCCTTACTTAGGGATGAGCCACATGTACAATTTATTTGGCTCTCAGCCCAACTGATGGGATCAAAAGCTTCTGGTGAAAGGAAGAAGGAACAGCTGGGCACAGGGAAAGAGGTACAGGGCCTTCTAGAGGGAATATTCTGCCAACTGAGATTTTATTTCATGGGCAGCTGATGCACTTTTGAGCTCCCCACCTCCTCCACTGTTACAGCTGGCCGTGCTCTGAGGGTGTCAGCTGCCAACAGGTAAAGTTAAAGGGCATAAAGGTATTTATATGTATTAAAAGGTAAAGTGGTACCAGACATTCATCCATTCTTCCTAAACCAAATGCATTTGTAGGGATGTAATACTCCTGAGATGATTGTCTGTAGCCTAGGAAGTTGAAGCCCAGTCTTATCAGAAAACATTCATGATGAACAAGCCACCTTTATCTCATATGGAAGTAGAATGTGAGATCTTTTACCTAAAATACCTCGTTTATTTTAACCACAGTTACTAAAACTGAGGAGGGAATTACTTGAAGGATGCACAGAGCCTGCATAGGTACAAGTTCAGAGCATCTCATTTGAAAGTTCCTTCCAAACTGAAAACCTTTCCATGCCTTAGAATCCTCTCTGGATGGGAAGGTGGGTGTGTTGGTTCTCCAGCAGCAGTCCAGCCCCATGCAGTACTGCATGAAAACTGGTTTTTACTTAGTACTACTTATTTCTGACATGTTCCAACTCTTCTGAGATTCTAGTATTATCCCTACAAAATGGAGGCAAAATCACTATGTATATTTGATTTTTAACAAAAATTGTAATTCAATCAAATGAAGCAGCAAGAATTTTTATTTCCTTTTTATATCTTACGTTATAAATCTGCTGCTAACTTATGTCTTTTGTAATTATTTTTAAATGTCATTTAGCATATTATTGCAAGTCCAAGTGCTATATTTTAATCTGTACTTTGGCCATGGTCAAACACAAAACAAGCCAGATCTGTTCAAATGACACAAGAAAACATCATAACCTTCATATTCTATTGTAGACTGTCTACAGGTGTTTAAAACTCTTACTGGCAGATAAAAGCACTTAAACCAGCAGGAATGGATCAGAGATACAGCTACCAAGTAAGCTTTCCTAGTAATGGATGAAATTGTTTTGCATAGATGTGAATTTTCAGATGTAATTATTCATCTCTAGGTCACTGTTTTGCTATACATGACTAACAGCTGTTGTTTTCCACCCAGGAGATGGCTGTATGTCAGCAGCTGGTAAAATGATACCTGCACATGGATTCAGGGGCTGCTTTAAGATCATCTTAATGATGAGACTTTTCCTGGATGGTTTTGTCTAAAACATGACACTGGAGAAGTCTTCCATTTTAGATTACTTGAACTCTGCTAAATGTCTGCAGAGACACAGCCCATATGTTCCAACCCAGACACCTCAGTTGGCACTGGTTGCCAGTGTAGGATGAGGAACAAAGAGGAAAGAAATGACTGAGCCTCTGGAAAAGGCAGAGCATGAAAGAAAGACAGCAAAGCTGGAACAACACTGCACAACAGTCCAGTTAAGCGCTTCAAGACAGACGTCTTAAATCTATTTCTCCCTTTGAATTGACTTTTTTTTTCTTTCAAGTGCCGCTTCATTTCACATTGCCAGCCCCGAAGCAATATGAAAATCAAAAGCACAAATTCAACAGAGTCACAAGACTGAGCTAAACTCACACCGTGCAGAGGTTTCTAGCACGCCCGGGGAGCCCGTGCCGTTATTTTGTCGTGCCCTTACCCCCTGCTCGGCCAGGCCGAGCGCGGCCGCGGCCCCGGTGAGTCACAGCTCGGTGTCTGCCCGGGCTCACGGCGCCAGCCTCCCTCTCCAATTCAAACAGCTCATCCGCACCGTGTGCCAAGCGCTGCCCCCGAGCCCTGCTGAGTCCTTTCCGGGGTTTCCTTCCTCTTCAGCGGCTGCGACACCATCTTCCCTCCGGCCTGGGCCACACGGGGCTCTGACCCCGTTATCGGGGAGCCAGGCTATGAGGAGGCAGGAAACGGCCCCTTAGAGCACGTAGGAAGTTATCTCGAGATCAGAGATTATTATCGCAGCGGGCCGTTTTGTTCCTTAAAAGAAAATTAATTAACTAGTAAAAAACATCAAAACCTCAGGGGAGGTGGTGTCTGTCTGCAAACCGCCTGGGGTCAGGGTGCTGGCACCCCTCGGATCCAGTAGCAGAGAGAGCGGCCCGAGGCAGTCCCGGGGCACCGGGGGGCAAAGCCTAGGGCTAGGCGGCACCAAGGAGAGAAGACGTGCCCAGAGGGATGGGGAGAAGATGGAGAATCCCCCTCAGATACCCAAAGGCTGGGGAGTTTCTGGGGGTGACCCGCGTCAAAGCGCGCCTGCAGCCAGCGAGGGAGCCCTGCCCTGTGAGGGGATGCGGCAGGCGCGGGGTCACCCCCGCCTCACTCACCGCACCGACCGGGGGTGCGCCGGGGCCGCGCTGAGTGACTGCCGCGGAGAAAAAGGGAAGGGGCGGCTCTCCCAGTCCCCTGGACGCCAGGACGGGGACACCGGGACCCCGGGGCACGAACCCCCCGCCCAGCCCCTCCGCCCGGCCCCTGAGGCGGGCGCGGCCCCGCGCTGCCGCCGCCGCCATGGCGCGTGCGCGGGGCGGTGTCTCGGAGCGTTCCCGCGGCCCAGCGCAGCCGCCATTTTGGAGCTCGGCTAGCGAGGGGAGGAACCCGCGGGAGGACGCGGCGACCGGTGCTTCTGCCTCCCCGTCCCGCCCCGAGCCGGCTCCGCTCGCCGCTTTCACGGGCCGCCTGTCCGTGTCAGCCGCCGCTGCTCTTCGTCACCCGCCTGGCCGGGCCCGCCGCAGGCCTGAGAGGCGGGAAGGATGCCCTGCACACCCCGCCGCTGAGGGAGACTCGGGGGCCCTGCGCGCCGCGTCTGGCCAGCCCCACCCCAGCCGCTCCTCGGCCTTTCGCCTCCAGCGGCGCGGAGCTTCCTTCCCTCTTATCCCTCTTGCCCTGGGTTTCCTTTCTCCTAGACTAAGCACGAGCCGCTTCCCCCTCGCCCCCAGCCCGCTCCGCCTCCCAGGCCTCTCTGCCCAGGCCTCCCCTTCTCCGGGTCTCTTCCTCCGCCTGGGCCTTCGGGCTCCTCACCTTCCTTCCTCCCTTTCCTTCCCCTTCCCCGCCCGGAGCCATGTCCTCCGCCGCTCGTTTCGATTCGTCGGACCGCTCCAGCTGGTACGTGGGCCCGGTGTCCCGGGCGGAGGCGCAGACGCGGCTGCAGGGGCAGCGGCACGGCATGTTCCTGGTGCGGGACTCGTCCACCTGCCCCGGGGACTACGTCCTCTCGGTGTCCGAGAACTCCCGCGTTTCCCACTACATCATCAACTCCCTGCCCAACCGCCGCTTTAAGATCGGCGACCAGGAGTTCGAGCACCTGCCCGCCCTGCTGGAGTTCTACAAGATCCACTACCTGGACACCACCACCCTCATCGAGCCCGCGCCCAGGTGAGTGTCCCCCGCCCCCGCCACACCCACTGCCACCTTTGCTTCGGGTGGCGTGAGGAGGCGAGACCTGTAAAGGTGTCATAGTCCAGCCCAGTGGCTCCCGGAGCCTGGCACTGGATGTAGATGCTATGAATAAATACTAAGGAAACATTCGTTTCTAACGCCGGGCCTTCTTAACGCTCTGGATCTCGCTGACAATTAAAAGTGTTGCTCTTTCAGTCAAATCATCCACGGTCGCTGTGCTGACCTTGTATGTAAAGGTACCATGTACCTCTACCACAGGCTATAATTGCCTTGAAAGAGGGTGTGGTCGCACGTCACTCTTTTTGTGTTACCCTTTTCTTCTAGTATTGTCTCTCCGTTCCGAGGATGGTTGAGGGGCTGGTTTGTCAGTCTTCCCTGTGATTGAAGTACAGCCTCTGAGCTTAGTTCGCTGTCTATCCCTACACTGATTACAATAGAACTGGCTTTTATGTGATTAGACTGCTTTGCCCTGTTAAGTCAGCATTAATACATTCTAGGGCAGCATTTCCCAAACTTCTAGAGTGGCGTTTCTGCGCCCAAAAAATGTAGAACACTTATTTCTCACAGTTTGCTTATAGCACTGTTCATTTATATGTGCATATACCATACACTTCACTGCGAAATGCTGTTCTAGGAGGATGGGAAAATGTGACTTGGCTATGAGCTCCTTCTTTGTCCTGGTCCCAGCATGGGACATACCTGTAACATGCATCAGTAAACTGCTTATGAAGAGCCCTAGAACATATTCCTTCCTTCTCTTTAATAAGGCCTTTCTCAATATCTTTTGTCAAAGCTTTTGGGCCTCCTGGATAGAATGAGATAAAATTAAATAAGAGAAAAGTAATGACATATTAAAAAAATAAATCCAAATTGGTTCACTTCTGAATTCTGCATTTTAATATCTTAAGTTTGCAGATCAGCAAGTTCTTAGGAGGGAGGAATAACTTTGAGGTTTATAATCACAACTGAATCTTGGCATAGGCCGGTACTTCCTGACAGTCAGTCACTTGCCAAAGATTGACAATAGGTCAAATTGAAAAACTAAAGTGTTCAAAAGTCATTCTGAAAAGCTGTCAAGTGATGGGCAGGATGTGACAACCTTCAGGAAGTCTTCAAGCTGCTGGCAGCTTTTTATGTGGCTAGCGAGATGGGTAGACGAAAATAAAATCGTTTTCACCATTGCAAGAATGCTTAAATGGAGCTGCCCAGTGTTACATGCATGCTTAAACTTGTGGAGATTTGGGAAGAAAAAAAGTCTTACGCTAAAGCAATCTTCATGCTTATCTCTGTTTTCCAACCTGGATACTCCTGAACTTTTCTGGATGCAAAAACTTGTTCTTAATCATTTATGGCCATGACTGACTTGACTTTCTCAAAACCCTTTAGAACTTAGAGCTGATTGCACCTGTACACTTTGTATTTGTTAGGATCCTGTGTGGAATGTTCTGTGAACATTTTAGTACCACCTTATTTTCAAGGTTTTGGTGGCATATTGTTCTCTCAGCACAGAGACAGATTGGACCTAACCTGCTGTGAATTGACAGACTTTTTTATAGAGCTACAAATGGGATCGACTAGATGTTTTTACTTAGCATGATTTTTGTTAAAACTCTTAAAAAATCAATTATGTGGTTGATGGTTTTACATTCTGTGCAAAGGAGACTTGCTGCTGCAAGAGGGAGGATGAAAGGTAGCATTTCCAGATTTTGGGGTTTTTTTATTTTTAGCTAATGGACTATATTTAGAATAGGGGTAGCCAGGTATGTGCTTCAGAACTGTTATGCTAATTCTTATTTCTCTGGCATTTTCCTGGGCACATTGCTCTCAGATGCTTGTGCTTCTGAAAGCTGTTCCTTCTTTTAGTTTCATGAAGTACAGTCTGAAAGGTGGTTTCTATATAGAACCCTAGAGTACTCCTAGATCTTGGAGATGACATCTTAAACTTTTAAAACAGTTTGAAATGGACCATTTTAACTGTTTGTTTTGCATCTCTAGTAGTGAGCTCTGACCATCCTTGCTGATGTTCCTGAGTTCTTGCCTATGCAGAGCATTTGCTCCCTGAAGGGTTCCCTCTGTCCCCCTGCTTTGGCTACAGCCAAAAAAAGAAAGATGGAATTTTTTTCTCTTCAGGGCTTCTGGCATATCTTGCAAAAATCACAGGGATTTGACTTCCATCGTGTTCTGCAAGTAGCAAAAGAGAATTGAAGTAGGCTAATGACATGCATTCTTGCTATCATAGCTTAGATAATGAGTATCTGCTGTGGCCTATATCCATTAAGGGTTTTTTTTTTGACAGCTGCTTTGAATAAAATGTTTAACATTTATGATGAAAATAGTGAAAGCATTCTCATTTGATGGACAATCTTAATATATTAGTACAGACAACAAAGTGACTGTATTTGAGAAATGATGGACATAGTAATAAAAAATTATGTAAATAAATTAAAGGTAATATGGTTAATAGGCAGAGGAATATTTATAGAAGGCTAGCTTTTTTTTTTTTTTTTCTTAGTTCCTTCTTATCAGTGGATGGAAGTATTTCATGCTGTCTTTATGAAGATGTCATACCATCTTACTTTTGTTCCCTTTTTCCTCTACGGTACTTCAAGTCTAGCATTTACTTACTGAATTCTTTAGAAGTGGATGCTGAAGTTAAAAACAAAACTATTTGGATGACTTTGGAGATGGCAGGGGACTCTTGAAGAGATTTACAGCTACATTTTTATGTATTGCCCTGCCACCTCAATCACCCAAATAGTGTTAATTTGGTTTTCTGTACCACTACTCTCAAAACTTAAGCTGTAGAATTAATTTGACTCTTAAGATCTTCACAACAATCCAGAACAGGTGGATGAAGATTTTGCATTATTTCTCCCAGTTTTCTGCATCCCATGATAGAGTATTTTGGGTTTCTGGGGTATCTACTTTGGGTATTTAAGTAATTATTTGGGAGTGTGAGTTACTCATGGAATGCCTCACAGTGCTACCAAGCCAATACTTCTGCTGCAAAATCCTCTGTAATTGATGTTCCTACTGCAAACCTGGTACTTAGCTTTGTTACTGGAAATACAAACCAATAGCTGTTACTTTTACCAAATCTTCAGGTATCCAAGTCCACCAATGGGATCTGGATCTGCCCCTGCCATGTCCACTGCAGAAGAAAACGTGGAGTATGTTCGGACTCTCTATGACTTTCCTGGCAACGATGCCGAGGATCTCCCATTTAAAAAGGGAGAGTTACTGGTAATTGTAGAGAAGCCAGAAGAACAGTGGTGGAGTGCCAGAAACAAGGAAGGTCGGGTTGGGATGATCCCTGTTCCTTATGTAGAAAAGCTAGTCAGACCTTCTGTTGGGAAGCATGGGAACAGGAATTCCAACAGTTACGGTATTCCAGAACCTGCCCATGCTTATGCTCAGCCTCAAACAGCAACTCCCCTTCCCTCAGTATCCAGCACACCTGGAGCAGTGATCAATCCTCTGCCAAACACACAGAACGGACCAGTCTATGCCAAAGCTGTCCAAAAGAGAGTACCCTGTGCTTATGACAAGACTGCGCTGGCATTAGAGGTAAGTCTTTCCTCCAGTCTCAGAGTTTTCAATTGCCTTGTGAAACTAAAAACTGTTATGGTGAAGTTGGTGTGAACGACTTCATGTGGAGTCTGCTTATTTATGTATAGGGATTGAGAAGTTAGGTTACATTCTGAAGAAACATCCACAAGAATTGCTTCATCCATACCACTTCCTTTGAGAAAAGTGACCTAGTAAGTAACTTTAGGACCTGTGTTTTCCCTCCCTCCCTGCTTGTTCAACTGTGCAGATGTTACAAGGGTAGCAGAGTGCACACATGCTGAAGAAGTGCTAGTGAGAGGATGGCTTTGCTTCTCCACATAATCTTGGGGAAGGAAAGAGATATTTCATTAATCATTGTAGAGTTCCAGCTAAGAACTGACAGCAGTGTCCTCCAGAGAAAGGCAGAAATTGCTGACTGCTACACTTAGTGCTTCTGATCCTCGGCTGTGAGGTGCACTCGAAGATCTTGTGCTGAGAGCTGAAATAGAATATATCAGAAATACTCTAGTCCCTTTTACTTTGATTTTCAAAAGTGGAATTTGAAAAACCTTAACACCTAAATTTGGATTGAGGAGTGTAATGTAACCTCTAAAGTGCTGCAAGTTCCCTGTGCTTGCTATTGCATTTTTAATTTTATTTTTATTAGAGATATCTTGTAATACTTCAGAGCATTATTCTGTAAATAGTAAAGAATTCATGTCATATTTCTAGTTTAGCTGGAATAAATGATTGACTGGAAGAAGTTTTTCAAAGCTATATCCAGAAGACTGAGATTCTTACTTTTACATTTAGATGATACTGAAGGCTAGTTAACCTGTAATTCAAAAATGTCTCACCTGGAAAAAGTGAAATTTGAACGTGCTGCAATACTTCCAGGAACAAATGCAAGCAGACAAGCATAGGAAGCAAGAACATTTCAGCAAGTAAAATAATAATGTTTTTTTAAATACCTTTTAATTTTTCATATTATTTTTGCTCAGTTACTTTGCAAGTTAAAGCTGTTACCTATGGATGATACTTTTGACTGAAATTTGGAAGGATTAATTGTGACTTCCCGTTATTCAGAGTGCTCACCCTAATTGTTTCACTCCTGCATATGTAAGACTTCTACAGGTGGTTACTCTTATGGGGTTAAAAATTAAATATGAATCACTGGAATTTCTGTGTCTTGTGAAATCTAGCAGCTCGTTATTTGTGAACAATGTGTGAAAATTATCATAGAACAAAGTGTAAATTCACTGCCAACTTCACTGTACAGAAGATTCCTGCCAGAACTACTCATGCTTCTGGAAGCAAAGCAAGGCAAGCAATTGATTTTATGTTATCAATGTGTCATGGAATTACTTTGGGGAACTTGCCTTACTGCAAGAACCACTTGGAACCTTGGTCCTCACATACAGACTTTCCTGACTTGCCCTTTAAGTGACCTAATTAACCCCATCAGTTTAGCTGCTCTAGGATACCAGTAGGATTAATTCTCTGGCCAACAAATAGGTTTGACATGGTTTGAACCTTCAAATTACTGAAGTTTTGTTTGAGACATTCTTCTCATTCTCTAATCCCTTACTGCCTCATGTTTTTGTGTCTCTCAACACTGGCATATTTTGTCTTCCCATGCAGTCTGTTTTCTTTTCAAGTGTACCTCATCCACACTGTGGCTTCTCAGGAGGCTTCAGAAGCAGAATTCTGGGAACTGCTCTACATTTTCATTGAAATCAGTGATTGCAGCTTCTCCATATCTATCCATGCTTCGGGAACTTGAGCAATTTCATTACAGCAGTGTTTTTTTGTCACATGGGCTATTCTTAAAGAAAAAAATCATTCAGCGGCTTTTCATGTTTTTTCTTTAGTTTGCCAAACACCTGCAATACCCTGATAAAATATTTAATCTCAGCCTTGTGAGGACTGTACACATTACTAAATAAACTGAACCATTTGAAACTTCTGTTTTGTAAGACTACTGAAAGTTGTGTTGGACAAAAAACAGGTTGTGGGACTGTTTTGGGGAAGAAAATTAATGGTGTTCTTTCATAAAAATATTATGTGACAGTTCTGCACCTCAGCATAGGTGCAGCCTAAGTGGCAGCTCAGCCTGTACAGGTAGAACACCTTGTGAGTGTAATTACATGGTTGCTGATTGTGCAATCTTAATTAAACTGATACAGCAATATGAAGGCAAAATATGTGTTTGCTGGCTGTAGCCTTGTGTGGCCAGCACACAGACAGTACTTAAAAGGAAGAGAATAGCATCTGGAGTAAATAAAGCCATGGCAGAGTAATCTGCTCAGCTTCCTTTTAAGTGGAGCGATGTCATTCTTCTTGGTTCAGCTTGAAAATGGGACAAGCTCCCTTCCTGCAAGTCCAGTGTCTCTATTGTACACTACTGTTTTCAGAAGCTGACACGATTTTTCTTTAAGAAAAAATAAAAATTTCTGCCCTGTTACAGAGAAGTTTGTTTTGTAAGCAAGTTTTTGGTTTTTTTTTTTAATTTCGTACATGAAAAATCTAAGTGAATAAGTGACTATTCTGCAGAAAATCTGAAACAAGATCTGATAGGCTGAATAAAGATGAAGGGTTCAACTGGTGAATTTAAAATGGTGACAATTTAAGAGCAACTAGATTTTTGTTCCTGTAGGATACTAGTCAATAGGGCATTTATTTTTTGCCAGGCTCAGTTTATTTAGCATTATACAGACTCATAGAATGGTTTAGGTCTGAAGAGACCTTAGAGCTCATCTCCTCCTACCCCCTGCCATGGACAAGGACACCTTCCAGTCTGCCAGGCTGCTCCAAGCCCCATCTAGTGTGGCCTTGGACACTGCCAGGGAGGGAGAGTTCACAACTTCTCTGGGTGACAGTATTGGTGTTATTGAAATTACTAATGCGTGTTAACTTCATCCTATTGTGTTATATACTCCACTTTCATTCTCTAAAATAAAAGATTAAATTATCATCTGTTTCTAACCTAAAGTGGTAGTTTACAGCTGGTGGTACATGTAATTTTGTGCATCTCCCTGCACCAGGGAACTGTCAGTAAAGCCTACAATAAATTACATGTATTTCTGAGATTTAAATATGCTCTTGTCTGTTGAGTTACTTTGGCAGTTAAGATTTAATGTTTTTAATAAACATTAAATTCTACAGATTGGATTTTGTAGCTTCTCACTACAACTAACTTCATTACGAGTATGTGTAGAATTTGAGGGATACTGCATTAAAAACCCCCAAACCACTAAACAAGCAAGATGCAAAATAAAAATAAAAACCACCAAACCCAGTCCCTAACCGAAAAGCTCAACAGTCAACGAGCAAGGTCTGTTTCTTTACTTGTGTACTTCTTGCCAAGAAGCGATTTCCTTCCTTTCTGGTGCTGCAGAGGAAGGGCTATGAAGGACAGGGTTACAGTGTCCTGTGCTGCTTGGGACCAAAGCTCTGCACCACAGGGCTGTGCACTGCTCATCTTCAATCCTGCTGATTACTGTGGGAAGGCTCGGAGGGCAATCCCATGTTCACAGCACTTGAAGAAGGTGATGGATTTGTTTAGAGCTGAGACTCTGGCACTGTTACTGTGATACAGAGCAGCAAAGTTTACCTGAAAGTTTCCCAGCCTTTAAAAACTTCTATAGCCAGTCTGTTAGCAATGGTGTGTTAATGAAGCCTTGTTTCAAACTGACAAGCTCTAACCAGGACATGAACAACAGATTCTGTATTCACTTATAAAATGGAATGAAATTGGGTAAGGAACCAGACAATGGGGGACCAGCAGCAGCCACCAGATTTATACCTGTTGTGTTTAAAAAGATTCTTAAATATATCCCCAATGCTCTAATCAGTGCCATAGTTAATTTTGAAGGTAGCAGTGGTTCTAGAGTTCATCTCCAGACTTAACTTGACAGTGTTATGGAATCAAAGATTTTTTTTTTCTTTTTAAACAAGAGTTGCACTGTTTTTTTAAGTTTTTATACTAGTGTTGGCTTTTTATAGACTTGTGCCAGCATTATAGTGTAAAGCAGTTTATCTTTTTGGGGTGTAGCAATCATACATGTGTATGTTTGCTAGTACAGAGTTAACCTGTCACTGAAATGTTTTGGTGAAATAAATGTCCATCCACCATAATTATATAACTGACTTAGAGTATTTCTCTTGAGCTTGTCACAATTAGGTTACAGTTAACTTTTTCCCTCTTCAAAGGAAAGCAGAGACAAGTAGGCCAAAATGTGCTAGCAGTAGAACTTTCTTAATTAGGAAATTAGGCTACTTCTTTCAGTAGACAACCAGCAGTGTGTTTTTCTTAAGCCAAAGAAACTTAGCCTTGCTGTGTTAAACATTAAAATGCATCTAACCCATAAAGTCTGGATTTTAGGCAAAGTATTGACCCTGTGTTTGTGTAGTGTGAATTGCTGATCAGGGAGCTTTAGTTGTTATAACTGTTGAACTGAAAGTGAACTCCAAATTCTGTACAGTCACAACAGTGGCTTAATCTGAAGGAGACAGGCTACCACCATGTGAGGAAAAGCAGCACTTTTTTGGTGCTGCAGCCCCTACTCTGACAATTTTCCTGGCTCTTGGTGAAATGCAAAGTTCCTTTGTTTTAATCTGTTCCTAGGTGAGGCCAGATTAATTGTATCTAGCATTTCCACATTTCTGTGTTGCCCTGGAACCTCCTTTCATGCCTCAAGAATGGATGAAGCTTTTCCTCTGAGCTGTTTGATTCTCCAGTTTGGACATCAACTGTGTCCTGGCCCAGAACACCAGAAGTGAAGGATAATTAAGCTGTGCTTTTAGCCTGGTGCTTCTTGAATCTTCCAATACACAGAACACCAGCTCCTTCAGTGTCCTTTTGTCCTGTTTGCAGAGTGGCTGAACTCTGCCTCTCTTGTGTAGCTCCTCACTTTGAGGACAGTGGGGTGTCAGGAGTTTTCTCAGTGTTGGACCTTGTCTGTTCTTCTCCAGACGGGCAGCTGGCCTGAAGAACTGTTTTGGTTTTCGTATTAATATTAGTGGAACCAAAGAAGGTGAGCTGTGACACTAATTAGGGTAATGACTGCGATTCAACACCCTGTAGATTCCAGAGAGCAATGTTTTCTCTAGTACTGACCCAGTGGGCTAAAATGATGGTTTAGAATTTTAATGCATTTTTATCTCCTTAAACTTACATTACAGAAATTTTATCAGCCATAGAACTATTAATATACAATTATTGGAATATCTGTAAAACTCATTGAATTGGTTGACTAAAATGGCTTGCAGGAAGCTTTTTGCAGAGTATGAATCAGCTTCAAATGGAAGGCAGGTATGGAAGAGCCTGGAGTGAATGCAGTAACCTTTCTGACTGGCATGTTCCACAGCTTGTGTTTCCCCAGGGCTTTGAATTCATGCTCTAACAAGGACATAATGAAAGATGCTATCTAAAATACATTTTGATTTTTATCATTTGGGTGTAACCAAGTGGCTGCATTTCAGAAGTGTTACTCATTTCAGCAGTGATACTTCATTCCAGCAATGCTGGTATGCTTCACAACTGAATTAATTTATTTGAGAGATGCTGAGTCTAAGGAAGTGTTCTTCTCATCTATAGATAAGGGCTATTAGCTGTCCAGAGTCAGTCATACAGGAAGTTTGTGGCAGAGATGAGAATAGAACCAGGTCTCCTGACTCTGTCCTGTGCCTAATCATAAGACAATTCTTCTGACTGTCTTGAAATATTAGCTGAAAAAAATAGTGTGTTTAATAATTTTAGTGGGAGATTGCACCTCAGCTGACCATGTTATAGATGCTTCAAAAGGCATTTACAAAATAATGCTTTTACTTGGGGGAAAAATACATAGAGGGACTAGTTGACCAGATTTTTCTGAACATTTTTGAAATTAAGGTCCTTAGTTAGTCTAGCATGAAGGTTCCTGCACCAAAAATCTTATTTCAACATGCTGTTTAATTTAGTCTTCTCAGGGAAACTACATTTTAAAAATAATATAGCAGAAGAGGATATTCAGCAGCTTTCATTAAAATAAAAACGCTCACAAAAATAGTGGAAAGTTATTGCAAAATAATTTACTCTTCCAGTGGTTCTCAGCATATGGGAGTATGTTTTGAGTAGTTTTGTCAGCCAGCTCTCTTTAGTGGCAGATGCTAGTGTGCAGCAGCTTTGCCCACCCAGCAGCATAAAGGACATTTTACATCATTAATCTACAGGGCAGTTAGTTGCAATGCAATAGGAGACTTATTTTAAATATTCTATTCACTCAGCTGAAGCAAGATTTCCAAACCCATTCACATTGTGAAGTCTTTCAGAACCAAGCTGAAGAATATCTGGTTTAGAACTTCAGAATTAATGATGGATTGATCTCTACAGCTCATGAACAGAATTACATTGTAAGACTCTCAGAAAATGCTCATGGTTTTGATTCAAAAGATTTTTTTTAAGATTAAAGAGTTTGAGAGTGGGTTTGGCTTATGGTGTAGTGAAAATACAATTCATTTACTTTAAACTCTTGTGATGTTGGCTGCATCTTCCTCAGGTTGGGTCTAGAATTTGGAATTTAGATCTGTCTTCAAGGGTTATTTAAATGTAACAATGTAACAGTGAGTATTTATAGATGTTATCAGCCTTTTCCTAAAGAGACATTTACTAGGTTCCTGTTTAGGTCATCTTGTTACTATTTAAAGCTTTCTTGAGTGATAAGTCTGACAAATTGTGCTTTTTAGCAAATATACAATTAGAGCATGCTGCAGCAGGCCCTGGAGGGATGAAAAGCAGTTGGGTGAATTCTGTGTGTACATGCAGTGTTTAACTGCTTAATTCTGTATGCTGGCTTCATGGTTGTGTTTAGGAACAGCATATATAAAGATGTCCATTTAAGAAAGTAATATGGCCTCAGTTATAGCCTAAGAATTTAAGGGAGTTCAAAGGGTTTTCTGCTTTCTCAAAAGCACAAGATTACAGTTATTCCAAGTGAGAAAATCTCAAATATGGGGTGCAGACAGGACACAGACCTCCAAAGTAGTGGAGAAAAAGTAGGGAAGGCAAAGCAACACATAAGGCTTAAATCTCTGAGAATAGTTTTAAAGTTCAAGAAATTTTATTTTAAGAGACATAACTGAGTGACTGACTGCTAACGAGTTTATTATAGCATCTTAAATTTCACTTTCTTGCTTCTGTGTAATCCTCAAAAATACTTTTTACAGTAATGGTAACTGGTTTAAATGGGCTTCAGATCCTCCAGTGACACACACATCATTGTGTAAACTCAGGGCTTGTTCTTTAACATTAAATATACAGGTCTCACCTAAAAAGTTTAAGGATGTTGGCCAAGGGCCTATCTGCATCTGGTCTCAGTTTTAATACTATTTAGAAAATGTAGACAAATTGTTTTACATACTGTATCAATGTCTGTTTTTTCCTTAAATAAGATTAAAGCTAGTTTCCTTTGAATTTCACAACAGCAGTTTGGTGACTGAGACTCAATTACAAAGAGCTTGGACCTAGTTTGGAAAAGAAACTTATCAACTGTTGGGCAATGGTCATGGGCTGGTTCTACTTTTTGTGAAATTAGTTTTTAATTGCTAATGTCACTTTTCTAATGTTTACTGTAATTACCACATGGAGACAAATAAGTAAACAGGAAGGGAGGGGGAAAGTTAGAGAGCTGCTGTAACACACCACAGGTTCTAGAAACATCTAGAAACATCTCAGGGAGAACGAGTATTTAGCTTGTCTTAAATGCTTCTTGTCAGTTTGGATATTTCACTTTGTAAATTGTCCTAATCCAGATTAGATACAAGTGTTGAACAGTAAGAGTATAATTTATCATCATTTGGGCTGTTGTTTCTTGCTTGATCATAGCTGAGACTTCTCTCATTTTTCACTGCCAGATAGGAAGAGAATAGTGATGGTAGGAAAGGCCTAACATGTCATCATTCCTGCTTAAAATGCTTTGACAGGAAGTAGATGTGAAAACCACAAATACAGCTAGAATCTACATTTAACTACTGAAAAAAAAAAAAGTTTGAGATTGCTTTTCCCCACTTTGGAAGTGTACCATTATTTTAGAAATTAGAGAAAGTTCTTAAACTGTGATCATCAGAATTAGAGCTTCAAGTAATGGTTTCTTTGCCTTAGGAATCTCTCTTTGAAAAACTACATCTCTTTTAAGTTAGCTGCTGCTAAAATACTCCCGTACTGTGCTCTTTTGAAAGGATGTGACTCATCACTGAGGGTAGCTTTACTGATGTGAATTTATATTTAAGCTAAAGATACTGTGGCATGAAGCTGTAAGCTCTCCTATAAAAAGAGGTGTAATTCAGTAATCTTTATAAATATACGTGTAATTAAGAGTCTGAGAAAGAGTGCAGACAACATTATGATGTTTAGCAACAAAGTGTTGGTAGTCAGTAAAAGTAACTTTTTAATTGAACCTTCTGCCAGGAAGAGGGCAAGATTCCTTTCCCTATGATGGGCTTGTGCTGTTCTTCATTTGATTTGTATCAGAGGTGAGAATCCCGTGTGTGATAAGGTTGTTTTTTGTTTCCAATTCCACAGGTTGGAGATATTGTGAAGGTTACGAGGATGAACATAAACGGGCAGTGGGAAGGAGAAGTCAACGGCCGAAAAGGGCTCTTCCCTTTCACACATGTCCAGCTATTTGACCCTCAAAACCCAGATGAGAACGAATGACTCCCTCTGCCCAATTTACACTGCTGCTTCATTTTCCTGGCTCTCATTAGCATTGTTTGAGGTGGGATGATGACTTAATGGCACATTGCTAGCATTGCCCATTTTCCAGCTTGCTGCAGTTTGACAGTTCTTTTAATATACATTTGGAATACATACAGCTGAAGTCACTGCCTGACCTTCAGACCGTAGTTGCGTCATCCAGAATTTAGTTTCACTTTTAAAACTTTATTGGGCCTTAAGCTGGAGAAGACTGAACCGGAATATAGCAGAGTGGTGTGAGGAAAAAACCTTTCCTGTTGAGAACTTCCATGGACTTTTTCTGGTTTACTCAGTAGTAAGAGCCCTAATCTTAGATCAAAACATGCAACTTGTGCATTACTGTCCAACAAAAAGCAACAACAAAAATGCAATTTTAGAACTGAAGAAGATTTAGTTTTGAAACGACCTGTCCTAAGGTAATACATTTAAAATGATGGTTTTACATAAAGGACAATAATTGGAGCTTGCATATTCTAAGCAGTTGTATTAGACACTGCTCTTTTCTGTTAACTCTTAAGCTTGTTGTTGACCTTCTTAAAACAGTGTGTGTTAAATGCAAATAACCATTGATTGAGCTGCATTGAAGCTGAAGCATTTATTTATAAGGCAACCTAGGAGGGGTTGATACTTGTTACTTGGTTTTGACATATTTAATGCATTTCTGTTGATTTTTGCAAGCACTAACTGTAGAAAGTGAGCTTTAAAGGGAAACACTTTGGCCTGGTCTACATACAGCTCTTCTGCAGTGTTGAAAGTGTAGTGTTACTAGTACAGTAGTGCTTGCCATCAAGCTGTTACTTGGTATTCAGGTCAGATTGCCATGAGAAGTAAGAGTGGGTCAGAAGAACTTGGTAAATACCGATAAAATCTTCTTATTTAAACCTTTAAAGACCTTTTATATCCGTTTCTCTGCAGGCTCCCTGCTCTCTCTAAAGTTTCCTAGCTATGCCAGCTCCAGCTCATCAAAAGCTTCTTTTCAAACACAGTACCTTTTTACCAGGGTGTCTGTGTTGCTGTGCTTCTCTTCCAGAGCTGCTTTCATCTTTTTTTTCCCCCTTCCTTCTTTTTCCTTGCTTGTATCCCAAGTCCTCTGCATGCTGACATCTTTTGGTTTTTTTACCCTTCCTAAGGCATTGGCTCTGGTTTATATATGACCCAGGTCCCTCCCTCTCCCAGCATCCTCTAGACAACGGTTAAATTGGAGTCATCTGCCCGGGTTGCCCCGTGTGACACCGCTGGGGCTGGAGGAGGCCACGGAGGTGTGTGTTGTTAGTGTAGCTCCTTCCCTCTTGGTGTAGCTGAGCTCTCCCGCTGTGCTCGATGTGCAGCGGGAGCTCCTGGCTGCGGCTGGGCGGGCGCTGTTCCTGCCCTGCGGCCGCTCAGCCCGAGCCCGGGTGCAGGCTATGAAAGCGTAGGCACAGTGTGTGCCACCTTCTTCAAATGTGCGTTGTAGGTCAACTGGAATGCTCTTTTCAAAATGATGGAACACTGAATTAACAGAATATATGTCTGCAAAGACACAGCTACAAAACCTCCCTTTTCAGACAGCCTGGTTAAGGCAGATGTCCAGTGTGGAAGCTGGCAGGAAAACAGCAGCTCCCATTTTTCAATTTTGGAAGGCTGTTGGCTGTAGCAAAATGAGAAACTTCAAACACCTGCAGAATGTCATCAGATCTTACAAATGTCTAATGATATAAACATTGTCTTAAGTTCCAGCATGTTTTCTTGTTGACTTGTGTTGCTTGATCCTAATAAAAGCACGTTGTTGGTAGTTCATGTGGGAGTGCCATGAGATCCTTAGCTGGAAGGCACTGAAGAACTGCAGAAATGGCATTCACAAGCAGACATTCGAAATGCCAGGTTTTAAAAAAGTCTCTCTGTTCATCTATTAACTGTTTTCTGTAGTATTGATCAAGTGGCTGACAGTCTGGAAGTTCTTGTAGAGCATTTTACTACCAAATTAACTGTGAAGTAGAGTAGCATTGACTGAAGTGTTTGGTGCTGTAATTCTTGACAATAGGCATTGACATTTTGTCTTGCAAAGAAAAGCTATGCAGTTCTCTTAACTAAAGAAGGTCATGCTTTTCCTGTGCCCCAACAATACCTGCACGTTTACTACACAGATTGTACTACTGAAAGTCATCTTCTGAATTCAAGCTGCACTAAACTCAGTCTGCTGCAGAGAAATCTTATTTCAGGCCTGACCTAGTTACAGGCAGCTCTTCAGAAGACTGATTGTAGAATTCTTCCTTTGCGTGGTAAATAAATACTGTGAGATTTGGGATCTTGAACATAACTTTTAACCTGATTTTTTTTCACTGAAATAAACATTTTGACTCATCCCCTCGTTGAATAAGGTGTGCGCTTTGAACACAAACATTGTTTTAGGTTTACTTATGTTCCAATACTGCAGAAAAGCAAAGTATTTTACCTTCAAAACTATGCAAAATTTGTGTGTAGTGGTATCTGATGCAAAGACAAGAATTCTTGAATTTCTATGAACCTGGTTTTAGGCCGTGAATGAACAGTGTTTCTCCAAGTAGCAGCGGTGTGGTTCAGGTATGTAAAATGTGGTTTCAATGTAGCATACTGACCAGCCTAAGCTGATTGTAACCTTGCTTCAAAATGTGTCTTGGCTATTTTACTATGAGACAAGTATTTTCATATAAAGACTGCATTGGATCAGTGTGTGTTTCTCTCTGAAGGACTCTGGATTCTCAGTCGCTTGTCGCTTGCTTACACATGTGCTGTCGTTTTATGAAACCTCTTAAATCTGAGTGATAATCTATCAGTGTAAATGTTCTTGGGCGTGTAAGATAACCTTGATATGAAGCATGAGAGCCTACAAGTGATGGCTTCAATCTATGCACCATTAAAGTTGTGCTTGCTTTGGAACTGGGAGCTGGTGTAATGACCTGGTGCCACAGTAGTCAACTATCACGAAAGGCTTGGCTTCCTCCTGCTGTGTATATATACATGTGTATATAGACATTGAAGCCTCTGACCAGTCTGAAAGTTTAAATGAAAACTGTTCTGATCAGTGTCCATCACTGGATAAGCGCTTATTTAATTCATGATTGTTTACAAATTGGGAAAGAATAAACAAAAGGGAATATCCTGTTTGGGTTGAGGCTCTGAAGAGCCTGAGCATTATTTTTGTAAAGGGAAAAACAGCATTCTTTGTGCCATTTCATGTGCCTGTAAAGTAATTTTTTATATTGTATTAACATCCTGGGAATGAGTGGGCTGCCTTTGTTTTTTAGTCCAGTTTTCAAGCATTTTCCTCAATACCTGCATTTGAAAGTGAGACCTGCCTAAAAGACTGCCTTTTGGGACCAGTGAAAGCGTTCCTGTATAGTTGTCATTTTCTGTTTATTTGTGTTAAAGTGTATTTTGGGACAAGGATACAATTATTGCAGTGGGAAAGGTGGCCTTGTATTTGAGACAGTCTTCACTGTGTAAACTTTTAAACACAATATGTAATTTAAAGACCATGATCTTCAGGCAATAATATTAAGTGTAAGCTTTCAAAATTTATTTGGGGGATCATAGCTTGTTTTATTTTTTGTGCTATAAGATTAACAGTATTAAATGAATTATATTCTTAGAATATATGGAGTGTCTTTTCTTAAGATTAGTGCCTTTTTAATTTCTTACTCCACTTAATTCATAGAACTGGTCCCAACATCAAGCCACTGTGTTTTTTCCCCAATGCCCTGTTTGTACAGTCTAAATAAAACTTGCCTCAACTTACAGTATTATTTGTTGTCTTTAGTCTGAAAGCCTTGATGGTAACAGCAGTGTTTAAGCCTTTACTCTGTCCTTACAATGCCCTGTTCTGAGGGTGAACAGAGTGTGCCAACTGAAGTTTTCCAGAACCAGAGGAAGAACTGAGCAGGAGAAAACGCTGTTGCCAGGCTGAATGCTGCTCTCCTGTTCCACCCTCGTGCTTCTTCTCAGACAATACTGCTGGGCTCTGGAGGTTCACATGAAAACGATGCATCTCGGGTGGCACAGATCACCACTGTCTCCTCTGCCCCGACGTGTCCGTGCTCCTCCTGCTCTTCCACCGCTGTGTTTATTGTGCTCTTTGGCCCAGGCTTTCAGGGCTCTCTGGAAACCATGACCTTTGTTTACTGTGATGCCCTTGACTGTGCTTGTAAGAATGACTGGTTTATGCAATGGTTTGAATTTCGCTTATTATTGGTTGAGTAACTAAGGTGTAACCTGTGCAGGCACTGGAGAGCAGGGACTGTGGCTCTGGCCCCTGCCACGAGGTGCTGCTGCAAAACATCAGAACTGTGTTTGGAAGTCAGAACCCACATCCTGGTCATCCATCTTCTGCCTTTTTAGTCAATCCAGATCAATAGTAGCTTAACTAAACTTAAAGGTTTTTTTCAGTTAAATCATTAACAAGGTGCTGATACTTGAGCTGATCCTGTATAGGAGAAAAACTTAAGAAGAGCATCAGCCACTCAACTGCTGCAAAGAAGAAGCCTACAAAGCTTGTATTGGTTCCCTGGACTCTGTAGGTATGGTGACAACCTCGTGTTTGTCTTCTCTGGAGTACAGATTTCCATGTGATGTTAATAAACATTCATAGCCAACTTTGCATAGTGTCTTATCATCAAATAGTCACATTTGGCAAATTATGCTTTGGAGAAAACCAGTTGTGTTTTAAAGACGAAAATAGGTCAGATATATTCAGTGGGCTTGGTAATCCTGTTTTAGGCTAAAAGGCAAAAAGCAAAAGGTAACGGGGAGCAAGGAGTAACTCAAGGAGTGCTTATTTATCTTACCTGCAGTCAGGTTCTACCAGTGCAAATCTGAAGTAGTTCAGTTACTTCAGTCCAACAACAGGCAGCACAAGCCTCCCTTTTTCAGTGCAAGCTGGGATCAGCTGGGTTCATGAGTTTGTCAATGATTTACTTTAAAAGGATTTATATCTATACCAGTGTGATGACAAACACCCTTTTAGACATACCCAGAGGTGTGTCTGTTGGAGCTTACACCATAGGAAATACACCTAAATACACCAAATATACTGCAGCCACAGCAGAACACAGTTCCATGTCTACATGATTCTCCGCAGTGTGGACTGCACAGATGAAAGCTCCTGAGGGCCACACTCACCTTGGAGCAACTGTACGGATTTCTGTCCCCCATATTGTCCCCTCTGCCTTTTTGTTTAGAGGACAGGTCAGCTGCTCCTGTAGCACTGTTGAACCACCAGACACAGCTCAATAGGGAAAGGTAAAGCATTTCCGATGTCAGGAACCCTCCATCCCCGAGCTGCAGGCTGGCGGTCGCTGTGCAAACAGCTGAGCCCCGCTGCAGCAGGGCCGCGTGTCCAGGGAAAGAAACGCTCACAGCTGTCCCGGGCTGAGCTGCCTGCTCTGAAATGCAAGCCCTGAGAGCCACAGCGGCACCGATTGCTGTGACTCATTAACACCGAGTGTTGTGTGCCCACCCTGAGTCAGGCTATCCCTGCCTGCAGTGCTCCAGCTGCCCGCCCTCCCTGGGAGCAGCCCGGGTACCCAGCGCCCACCACCGTGACTCAGCCCATCTGCTTCAGCGGGGCTCCTGCTCCAGGCTGGCACAGCCCTGGGGGCTAAGAGCTGAGCTGGTCCTGCTCTGTGG